AACTTACATGTAAATGATTTGTTTCGAAACACTTTTGCTTTTTTTGATAAACTCAAATTCTGATTCATTACCTGACAAATGGTATACATCATACGCCACGTAGTTAACTGTCTCTGCAGTATGGTCTATAGGCGTCTGAGTTGTAATTTGTAAAGAAGTTGTTACATGAAGCCTATTACTCATTGGTGAAAAGTCATGTTGTATATTTTGGGATCTGGACCCAGATCTTTCACATTCTGCCCAATATGAAGACCAAAATATAAAAATGATACAGCTTCATTCATGATATTTTAGTCATCCTGCAGAAAAAGAAATAAGCACTGACAAACTTTGTTGGAGGTGGATGCCGGATGAGGGTAGAAATGCCTACCGTACTTTTCCACAGCCCTGTAAAACAAGAAAGGTCAGAAGGTCTGTTAGAAAAAAAAAACTACTTGGACTGAAATTCCGACGACTCACCAAATCCAATGACCGTACTATACACATGAGTAGAGTACGTCATATACATAGTAACGCAGAATTCTTTAATTGAGAATGGCCTTGATGGCTTGTTTTTGATTGGCTTGCTCAGGTGCGTTGATAATGTCAATAATATTGATATTGTTATCCTCGACATAAGGCGATATCATTGGATTTGCCTCCAACATTTCCATGTTTGCCACGCCTTTGAGCAGAATGCCCTGCTGATTGGCATTGGCTCAAGTGGCATTTGGTTTAAAATTTCTCCAACGTTTGCTCAAGAACCTCCGCGACCACACACTGGGCGGGGTTTTGTTGCAATACGTGGCTGTTATATAAAGCCGTGGGCAAAGGTAGTCTTGCGGACAAACGGACGTCCAGCGGACGAAAACAATCTTTCTCTTGGGCCTACCATGTAGAATTGCTGGATTTTTAACGACGTTACATAAATCTAAAGACGGCTTTCCTCACACGGACTACTGCAGTCAGGTAAGTCGTAAGAACTCGTATCACGGAACTGTTTTGTATGTCCATATTGTACGGTTACTGGGGACAAGGTCACATTTTTTCCTTACTAAGGCAAAAGGTTGCTCTGACATTTACATCCCCAAACCAACGATACAGGTCGTGAACGATATATGATGGAGAGCATTGTTTGTGGAGAGCAAGACCTAGCTGACCTGGGCTCGTCGTAGACGATAAGAGTAGGCACCAAAACCAGTTTATTTGCAATGCTTTGCTGTTCTTCTATTTCTTCATTCTGTTCTTGATCTCTGTATGATACTGAGTAACTGCTTCGTAGTAATCTATTGAACGTATCTTTAAAATTAGTGCGAAATTGCACATTGACTACATTTAGAGATACACAATACGCGCAAAATGTATAATTCAACGTAACGTTAGGGCAGGTGGAATTGACATCTTGTTTGGGGGTAGAATGAACGGCTCGTGTCAAAAGACACCTTCAATAGGTATATCCCTATACAATCGGCTCACACCCGGTGCATTTTTAATTGCATACTGTTCACGTGGGTAGGTTCTTCTCGGTCCCGGTGCCCCTTATGTAACGCATGGAAATGAAGCCCCCTTCCTATCACTAAAACTTGGGCACGGTTTAAACTGTCAATTTATCCTCACACTTGAAATAATGGTGGGAATAATCAAAGTTGTTTCTTTCACGTTTTTTAACTTTCTATTGTGCATATGTTAACAGTTACTGTACGTGACGTATATATATGAAATGCCTTTTCCTCCATTACGCAAGTGTCCCACTTTTGTTACGAAGTAGTCCCGAGGGTCCTAACTGCCTTTTTTTTGTCCACACAGTACGTTTAATCGATATCTTTCCTTTATGGAAATATCCTTCTTTGATCTTACTCCCCAACAGAAGAGATGGGCTTTGTAGTTTTAAAAAGTGTTGCCCACTGTACACTTTACTTCTACTTAACTTCTACCTGAGCCGCAGATTCTCTGTCCGCGTTTAATGGACTTTTGTCGATTATGTGCTGCTCTCAGCCGAATTCTAGAATCTGCAAAACCGTCCTTGCCCTTAAGAACAAAAATCAGCAGTACACCCCACTCCCGTTTTGACGGTTTGACGGGGAAATGTTATATTTAGCACCTGTACAAATAGGAACAAACACTGCGTCACCAGGACATGTCATACTGTCGTTTAAACTGGGAGTTAATCATTCACTCATTCATTCATCAATTAAGTAAAGAATTCTGACATTTGCCTTTTTAACAATTCGACGCGTTGGAGACAGGGACGAAAGAGGGTCATCTCGGATAAAGGGCGCCAAGATTTGATAGTCCTTTTTTTTGTCCTGATTCATGATGACATTAGATAACAATATGTACCCGCTGTTTGACAGCGAGTTGAAAATCAACCAGGTTTGTGACGCACCTGACGTGGAACAAATTAAGTTGCAATCCCCTTCCTAATCAGGCACGTAACCGCTCATATACTTAGTCAACCATTTCACATAATCAATCATACCACTTCATGCTATTAAGCCAATTTTTCTGCGATACATTAGTGGAGTGTTAAAAAAGGTAGCACCAATGTTCTTGTAGTTGTAACTGGATAGTTTGTGGTGGCCTGTAACAGTTTTTGCTGTTTATATTCATCACGTACAGGACATCACGATGAGGCGCACGGTGAACATGGTCGTGTTGGCAAGCCTTATGTGGATTCTAGCCGGAGTAAACCTGGCGAGGGCAAACTGGAGCCCGCCGGACTGTCCCCGACAGTGCATGTGCTCCGCGCGGGTCGTCTTCCCGCTGTACGAGCAGCTGCGGACGGTCGAGTGCTTCAGGCCCAGCGAGAGTGTGCAGTTCCCGCCAGACACGCAGTCCATCAACGCCGAGTTCTCCCCGCTGCGGCAGAACCTCCCGGAGGACATGTTCCAAGGCTTGAATGAGTTGGTAAGCTTGAAGCTAACGGCGAGAATCACTAAGGTTCCACATGGCCTGTTCCGTAACCTGACTCGGCTCAGAGTGCTGTGGATCAGGGAGTTCCAGGTCCGGTATCTGCCGATTGGCATCTTCGACAGTCTTCGAGAACTGGAGCAGGTCTGGATAGAGGAGACCACCATCACCCTCCTGCGTGGAAACACGTTCTCCAACCAAAACAAACTTATGTTTGTCCACTTGAACAACAACCAGCTCTCGCGACTTCCCGTCAACCTGTTCTCCAACCAACCGGCCCTTACTCTTCTTCATCTCCAGTGGAATCCATTCCAGACCCTCGACTACAGAGTGTTTACCTGGATGACGGAACTGCGCGAGTTGGGGGTGGACTCGTATCACATGACCTCATGGCTACCAAATCTGATGAACCTTCCAAAAGGGCACTTCGAAAATCTGGAAATCTTGGTCACGTTTCTTCTGAATGAAGACCACTACGATTCCACCAGGGTAGAATGGGACACCATGGTGTACAGTCGTGATCCTCCGCAGTGGTACTTCGGAGAGTGCCCTCCCGACTCCTGTGCTTTCGGGGCTTGCAGAATCTCGTACCAAACGCCGGAGTGTGACGGTATCATGGCGGCAGGTATACTGCTTCCTCTGTCATTGATGGCGTTCCTTGGTATCGTTCTATTGCTCGTGCTCGTTAGGCATAGGTTGAAATGCCGGTCAGGGTCAGGGTGAACCTTTGCTAGGTAACTGGATTGAGATCTGTGATCTCACTACGTATTCACTAGTGTACAGAATGGTAGTAACAGTAGTCGGGTTTGTAATCAATTAGTACTATAGAAAGATAGGGTGAAAACAGGGCTATACATTTCAAACATTCAGCAGTGTTAAGCCGTTAACAGACATCGGACCACTCTATATAAAACTGGTTTGTCAGGTACAATAAAGGAATCAGAAAGATTTCTGTTATTATCCATTGATCGGAAAATGTGAGAAATTACTCCAAATTGTCAGGTAACACGATGGACAGCAAGCATTGCCAGACCAGTCCAACAAATCTAATTGACTTGTCGTGCAGTTTGTCAGTTCAACATTGTATGTGCTGAGCCAGGATATGTGTCTGTATGCTAATATGTTGCCCTTTTTATTTTCCTCTGCGGCATAGATTCACGCTCTTTAAGTCCTTTTTGTATATAACGTTATATTCAATATATACTTACACTAGACTAAGCGGAACATGCTGAAAACGCAGGTTGGGAGTACCATCGATATGTCCACTGTCTTCTACGTTTCCATTTGCTGGGCCTATTAGTAGTATTATAGTCATCGTACTCTTTGTGATGTTTATCTGTTTTGTCAACGTTTTTTTCCAATCGTCTGTTTCTTTACACCAGCACAGTTAATTTTGTCAATTTATCGCCAATTAACAGGAATAAACGAGGGTTGACGTAACTTTTTCAGGCATCATTCGTGTTTACAACCACAGGTCCTTGAACTGTCATTGTTATCAAAAGGCGGGGAATCAATGTTTGTAGTTACAGCCATTGTGATGAACTATTTCACCTTCAACCCCGAGTCTTTGACCCAAGTATTGACTTTAACACGTCAAAGGAACACGCAAGAACCGCGTAATCACCCAATGCAAGATAGGTCCTACCACCTAACCAAGCGAGAAACCAAGCAAGAAACCAAGCAAGAAACCAACCAACCAACCAAGCAACCAAGCAACCAAGCAACCAACCGACCAACCAACCAACCAACCAACCAACCAACCAACCAACCAACCAACCAACCAACCAACCAACCAACCAACCAACCAATTAACCAACCAACCAACCAACTGACCAAACAACAAGCTAGCCAACCAACCTTACGGTCAAATAATTTGTGTATTGTTTGTCGTAATCGCGTGCAAATAGTAAAAGGTCAATACAGATATACGTGTCAGAAATAACGTACTCCATGGGGGGGCACGGAAGGACGGTTCAGGATATTTACCTTTACCAATGATTTACCCGGCAGTTCTAGTGGGTCAGCAGCCATATTGCGTTACCCAGGCTCTCTATGTACGTAATATGAACTCGACGACAACATGGTTATCATTAGAGCCCCCCCCACCCACACACACATCAAAAGAGTAGAGAGGTGGGTGATTGAATACAACAATATGGACGTTCCTATATGCTCATTAAAAATACACTTTATTCTCAGTCTAAATTTTGGGATGTATCTAAAGTGTGGGCCCAAACAGCCACATATTACCTGTGGTTTGTGCCCGGTAAACATTTGCCCATTGGTCAGCCGAGGGGGCGTGATAAATGCTGTTGCCACCAACCAGCGTAAGTTAATTATTGACCCTAGCTACCAGAAGCGGAGAACTTTTATTATTTGAGCGATACTTTGGGATGTTATTTTCGGAATGTCATTCCATGACAATTCATGTACGATTATCAATAAACTGTCCTTTTGAAACGGTTTATAGTTGATGTGCGACCAACGTTCACTGCAATGTAAGCAACTATAGAAGCCACAATAACGTGTAACATGATCCTGTCTCTCCGCCCCTTGATAGGTTGATTTGGTGCAGTATCTTATTGACCTTCATACCCGCTGACACAGGTCCGACGGTTGTAATGACATATATATGTTGCCCTCAACGTTAGTGCAAAGTCCAGTACATTAAACCTCCGACCCGTCCAACTGTTGCAGTCGGATACAGGTAACGTCTTGCTTATGTTTATACGTAACCATAGTACTATTACTCATTTAAACTGTTCTATGGTCTTTCAATGTCGGTAATAGATGTACATGCACCCATTTGTGACGGAAATATTGTCGACAAAAAGGTGTAACGTTATAGACTTGATCGTCAGATATTTCATACAAGCTTTCGTCCACTTGCAATCTGACGGTCAAACAAGGGAGTAGCTACAAGCACAGTGACCATGGGATCGGGTAGTCACTTTGTCGGAAGGATAGACTAGCCTGAGATGTGAATTGTTAGGCTGCATTTGTGACAAGGTAAAACATGGCAGGAACAGACTGGGGCACGTGACGCTCTAAAACCTGAAATGTCAGCCATTACAGAGCTGTCGACGGAGGGGGCGGGGCAGGGTCTAACCAAACAAATGTTGTGGCGTTTTAAACATGGAGAAGTTCATTCAAGTGCTTAAAGGTTACCCATATACAAGAAGGTATGGATTTTGTTGCAGATCGTCGTATATGATTTGTAAAGGTAAGAAATTGACGATGTCACAGTCACTTGCATACGTTCCACTATTGTCTACATTTTTTTTCTACGGAGCAGATAGAGATGGCGACGTTCTACTTCTATGTCGTCTGCCTGGTGACGGCGATGGGGGCGCGAACCTCCAGCTGCCCGGGGCAGCCGGGTCCCTGGCACGTAGACTGTCCTCTCAACTGTACATGTCTGGAAAACTGCAATACCTACCTGGGTCGCTGGGTGAAACAGGTGTCCTGTGTGTCTCGCACAACGCTCCACGGAATAACGTTCCCGCCAACAACACAGGACATATCCATCAGCAACGTGGCCGGAATAACGACAATCCCTCCTGACCTGTTCTCCGGCCTTACCGACGTCCTCTCCGTAGATATCTACAACGTCTCCATGTCGACCTCCCCGCCTGCCAATCTCCTGAGCGAGCTCCAGGGGTTGCGAACACTGAGGCTGGTCTCAGTCAGGCCGGTTAATTTAAAGATGTTCGCCAACCTCAGGCAACTCAATCAGCTTGATCTCCACAATAATGACCTAGAGAACGTTCAGGTGCAAGCCGGCGTGTTCCACACCCTCACCAGCCTTACGCACCTACACCTGGAGTCCAACTCCTTAACTTACCTGGAACCAGCCTGGTTCCGTGATACTGTTAAACTAGAAGCCGTCAGTGTCAGTGACAACAACATCCATTATATAGACAACAACACATTCCAGTATCTAAGTGAGCTTAGTGAACTGAATGTACAGAAAAATCCCCTCGTCCGCGTAGAGATGAACGCATTCCGTAATCTAAACAACTTGAGATCCATCTACATGGACAGGAACCAACTGGACACCGTGGGTCATGTTCTCATCTATGCTCAGCTGCCCAAACTGATCAACCTGTACCTACAAACTACCCGCTATTACTGGAAGCACGTCACCACTTTCAATCAGACCTGGTACTTCAGAGGGTGTCCTCAGGGGTATTGCGTGAACTCGCTGTCTTGTTCGGTATCCCGGAATACCCCATGGTGTGTCTGTACGAAGGAGTACAAAGGGGACCGCTGCGACGAACAGAGAATTACTAGGGGAGAGTTTCTTGGTATCTTCGTGACCGCCATGGTTTTTGTGGGGATCTCTGTGGTGATCATCCTAGTTAACGTGGGGCGCGTGGTGGCGCGGTCCTGCAAGCTGCCGCGCTTCAGGAAACTCCAGGAAACTCCACAACCCTCACTGAATCCTCCTATGCCTCAGATGACATGAAAACACCGCTTAAATCTAGATTCACTGCAGAATATCCAGAACTATCATTTAAACGTACTGTATTAAAGTTGTGTCAAAGTTGAAATGTTTGAAGACGAAATGTTGAGGCAAATCGGCCCTTTTCTTCCAGCCGTCAGCTAGCGACTAAAATCAGGTAAACCCTGTATAGTCCTTTCGGATTTTCTGACCGCTTTCCACCTTACTTGTGACATGGGAAATGTGGACCTAAAGAAAAAAGGTATACAAACCTGTCAGTGTGCAACGAACAAAACACAGACTTTTGAGTTTAGACATTTTTAAATGGTTATTCTATAACTCAATCAAATATGAAATGAAACATGGAATGCCAAGTTAAATCGGGCGTAGAAAAGCGAACTCATAATGGAAATGGATAACGCTAAGATCCAAGTGCAGCACAATCCTACCATCACACAAAGGACAGCTCGCGCGTATCCGACGTCTATGCAGCGGCTCATGCAAAGGTTATAATGGTAATCCGCTTTACTAAAATGTAATCCACCAGTAATTCAAAACTAGGCGTGGACTAGGAGAGAGAATTGAAATAAATCACACTTTGGTGAAGTTTATATCTGAAACATGGTTTCTTTATTTCTTTATTTGAATTTACCACATGCAAAAACAAGTGGAAGGGAGGACAAAACAGGTGTATCAACGCCTTTACAAGTTGTCCTCCCAAAAGGTTTGTTGGTGCAGTATATCACGGATGACTAGTTCGACCTGATTTCGTATATGCACCTGTCACCCGAGCGTATCAACAGTTCAGTCCCAACTAGGTCATATTCTTATGGGTGCAGTTTGCCAGTACGTCGACCAAAGACTTGTATAGAAATGGGGCGAGAGAAATTACTACCGGTAGTAGGACCCATGGGGTATCAATGGGGCTGAAAATCCGTTAGATGAATGCAGTCATTTAGGTGAAGGGGAGACAATCTAAGGATTTAAAATAGATTCACCATGAGCAGAGTTGGGATATTATCAGCACATTTAAACGTTGGAGACACATTAAGTCTTCAAAATTATAGAGGCCCTTCAATGCCGCCCCAAACACATCAATTATTTGGATATGAACCAGTAAATTATTTGTACCAGTAGTCGTGTTGGTTGTCAGTATTCTCATCAGCACTGAATTGGAACTTTGAAAGAATTATGAGTGGATAAATGAATCAATAAATATATAAACAGGCATCATTGATCGGTTGATAAGTGATAAGAACGGCAGAGTCCAAGTTAAGCTGGGCTTGAAGAATACGTGTTACCAACATCTCAAGCTTGACGTTCAAGAAAACTTTGTAACCCATATTTTTTTCTTTGCCATTTTGTACGATGGAGAGACAATATACAAATGTCATATGCATAGAAGGAGCCTGGAGGGGGGAGGGACTCCATGTTTTGGCCATCTTTAATGTCTCTTTCTTTCAAAGCCACACAAATCCTTTGAAACTTTGTACCTCGTTTCCAAATAGAATGCCTACACAGCTTCGTGACCGTATTGCTCGACTTTGTAGGAACGTAACTTCTTGAGGTAATTTATATATTGATTAGCCCTGAGATGGACGTGTTCCATTCGCTGCGCCCCATTGGTGCTGACCGTCCCGTGACCACAGGGTGACATAGTACAGGAGCTTGTAGGATTCCTGAGTATAAATCCTGACGCAGTCTCCGCGGGAGGACGCTTAGCTGTTTGTCCGTTTGTTCTTTATCCAGGCCACCAAGAGTTTGCGAGGTACGTTGATTGTAACTCCATCTATACTATCTAGTCTCTTGCTATGAAATTAGGAAACTAGTTATACTTGTTTTGTCTTGCTTTTGTTTATGTTGTATCTTGTATGTAATTCTACATTGGATGAAGTGCCCCGCATACCTGCAATGGACAGTATAATTCCCATTGATACATTACCAATATGTTTCAATAACACGTAATCAGGATTGGGCTTTGAAGGTCTATAGGCTGTCTCCATGGCCACTTTATGTGCATCTCACCCATTTATTCTCTCCTCCATTTACCCGAATTAAATGGACCTATCCATTCTCCAGCCGCAATAACGGTCGAAATGTCGGCATGTCGATCGACTACCAGGCGCGTTAAGTCATGGGCACCAGGTTATACCCACAAAAGTGTAACCGATATAAATTCTGGAAAGCTTCATGGACAGCTGAGTCAGCACTTTTTTCATTTCCGTCTTGCCGACATTGTCATAACTGTAGAGGGGGATCAATGTGCCCACTTTGCTAAGCTGACTCCATGTTTGATACAAGAAGAGATCCCAATCTTCTTGAAATGTCATAAGAGTTATTGGCGGCAAAGCAAGGGGTTCTTTAGTCAGTGATTTATGTTTCAATCGAAAAAAAGCTTGCTGTGAAACCGTCTCAATTTTGGATCATTAAAGCTATTGTATACTGCAACGATAATTCAACGATAATTTTTTTACCACCTACAGAATAAGACACAACAAATGCATCCTGACACAGACATGTATTTTGTTCCTAAGATGCTGACCGTGCTCCTGACCCTGTTGGTTGCCATGGCAGTCACGCCCAGCTTGGCTGGTTACCCCAGTGAGGACGATGAGGAGCTGTGTGTCCAGGCCTGTGAGCGCTGCTTCAGCGTCATGAAGTGGCCACGCTTCTACAGCGCCTTCAAGTGTAAGGCTCAGTGTCTGGATGACATCATGGAGGTATGATTAATTGTTTACGAGAGCTAGAGAATGTTGTATTTACCTGCCTTTAGCCTTAAGGACTTTATGGTGTCCTAGTGAGAGTATGTAGAAGCAGCAAGGACAGGTGTATTTACCCCTGTGTGTGTGTGTGTGTGTGTGTGTGTGTGTGTGTGTGTGTGTGTGTGTGTGTATAGTGTTCAGCACCAAGGACAGGGATGTGCCGTGGCCGTTTCTTCATCTATGCATGAATATGTCCTGTAGGTAAAGATTCCATGGTCTAAATTGTAGGGACAACCCAACTTAAAAAAGTCTAACATACAGAATAAAAATAATCACTGTATCCTTATGGAAACGTGTGTGATTTGCAGAGTCTCAGGTTATGTGCATCAAATAAAACTTCTCTCAGCACCACATTACGTTTAGGTCACGAGTACGCAAAGCCTCGTGGCAAATCATATATCTCCTCCTGTAATATTGCACCTTAGGGCTGGAAACTATCCATTAACCGTGACGCCACGTTTCCGTGTATCTAATTTCACGCACAGCATTACATATCGACCAGACTGCAAGTAACAAAGAAGATTAATGGGGATTCAACTCGCCTCGTTCCTCTCTGTCAGATGACCATCCTGTCGTGTAGAAACTCTGAGCCGGAACACCTGGTGCCAAACGATGGACAGGACCAAATGTGAACTCTGTTATCATTTGAGAACAAATGACTAATATGTATGATATCATATACACATCGTTATACAAATGACATTATCATTTCTATTTGGTGGGCGCTATTCTCTTCGAACTTCAAATTACTATAAGTCGCCTGCTGCTAAGCTACTGCACACTCCGTTAATCAGTCCACATCACAGCTTCGTGCAACTCGTCTGCTGGAGAATGATCGATTATAGAAGGGCAATTGAAATAAAAGGGGTAATTAAAGTTGGCATCGCAGATCATTTCAGCGAGGACCATTCATTCTAGCTTGATGTTAGCACTATGGTTCACCCGAACATTCAGCTGAACATTTATCTTCTAGCAGACATTCTACTTCCTCATTTTTCAGAAACAGAGCTCATGAGTTGGAAGATAATTGCTGCGAAATAAGCTGAATAGAAATGTACCGTGGCCGACAAGTACAAAATTTTACACCGCAACTTTTGGTGTTTTACACCGCAACTTTTGGTGTTTTACACTGCAACTTTGGGTGTTTTACACTGCAACTTTTTCTGTGTTTTACACTGCAACTTTTGCTGTGTTTTACACTGCAACTTTGCTGTGTTTACACTGTGCAACTTTTGCTGTTTTACACTGTCAACTTTTGGTGTTTTACACTGCAACTTTTGCTGTGTTTTATACTGCAACTTTTGCTGTGTGGAAAACTTACACCCCTCCCCTTTTATAATGGACGGTCCCCCTGTCAGGTCAAAGGTGACAAAGATGGCGGCGGCCTGAGAGTCACAGTGTCGTGCTGTGACTGAGTGTGAGACATCAACAGAATGGGTTCTTAAGAAATTGATCAAGCTGTGAATAAATTGATGATTTATAATTCTGTCTGTTCTTCTTTGTGTTTTAACTTTACTATACTTACACAACACTGTATTGCCTCCATGATGACAGTTTATAAATTAGTGATTGACTAATTAACATTGATTAGATGTCTTATTAACTATAAATATTGTATACAATATTATTCTACATTTGTATACGAGCGATCGCTGTTTTTGTTTACATTATACGCATGCAAATTATTTGAAGACATATGCAAATTCTTGGTAGGCAAATCAGCCAACTGGCACCCACTTTTTGCCTACGGTGACGTCATGGCGATCGCTCGTATTGTTCCCTAATGATCGATAACTTACCTGAGTCAAGAGTCAACACTTCATAATTGAAAATAAGTCTTCATAGTACCAAGTGGTGCCACATTTGACTCCCATAGGCCCAATATTTACTCATCAAATTATTAGCGACCTTGCGAGTCCGAATTCTCTAGCTAGAAAATGTCACGTGACTCAAAGGTACCGTGGCCGACAAGAACAAAATTTTACACCGCAACTTTTGGTGTTTACACCGCAACTTTTGGTGTTTTACACCGCAACTTTTGGCGTTTTACACTGCAACTTTTGGTGTTTTACACTGCAACTTTTGCTGTGTTTTACACTGCAACTTTTGCTGTGCTTTACACTGCAACTTTTGCTGTGTTTTACACTGCAACTTTTGGTGTTTTACACTGCAACTTTTGCTGTGTTTTACACTGCAACTTTTGCTGTGTGGAAAACTTACACCCCTCCCCTTTTATAATGGACGGTCCCCCTGTCAGGTCAAAGGTGACAACGATGGCATATCGCATGCAAACTACGTCGACTGAGTTATCCTTTTCGTGCATAAGTTTTTTAGAGGAAAAGCTTGGCTACGTTGTGACGTTAGTTTTTTTCTAAAGGTTTTTCTAGCTTTGGCCTATAGATCGGGATATATTTTAAAATGTTCCGACCAGGTCCAGTGATTACAAATTATGTTGCTTTTTGCTGCCATGCGTCACAACAATCGACCGACTTCCAGATCCTGCCCCCACCCCACCCCAAGATGGTGTGATGGAGTCAAGACGTCTCAGAAGTAGGAAGGATGTGTACCCATGGGATCTTAAGAAATTGATCAAGCTGTGAATAAATTGATGATTTATAATTCTGTCTGTTCTTCTTTGTGTTCTAACTTTTACTATACTTACACAACACTGTATTGCCTCCATGATGACAGTTTATAAATTAGTGATTGACTAATTAACAATGATTAGATGTCTTATTAACTATTAAATATTGTATACAATATTATTCTACATTTGTATACGAGCGATCGCTGTTTTTGTTTACATTATACGCCATCTTTTCTTGTCGGCCACGGTACGGTCGATTGTATCCACGAAAAGGATAACTCAGTCGACGTAGTTTGCATGCCATCGTTGTCACCTTTGACCTGACAGGGGGACCGTCCATTATAAAAGGGGAGGGGTGTAAGTTTTCCACACAGCAAAAGTTGCAGTGTAAAACACAGCAAAAGTTGCAGTGTAAAACACCAAAAGTTGCAGTGTAAAACACAGCAAAAGTTGCAGTGTAAAACACAGCAAAAGTTGCAGTGTAAAACACCCAAAGTTGCAGTGTAAAACACCCAAAGTTGCAGTGTAAAACACCAAAAGTTGCGGTGTAAAACACCCAAAGTTGCGGTGTAAAACACCAAAAGTTGCGGTGTAAAATTTTGTTCTTGTCGGCCACGGTAGAAATGGGCTTGATAGTTCTCAATCAATCAAACGAAAAAGTAAACACTCTGTATGTTCGTATGTTGTGGATGATATGAAATGGTTTAACATGCTTTTTTCTCCAATAGGATTATGTGGTTGGTGGCAGTTCGTGGGCTCTATGCAAGGTAGCGCTTCAGCAGAACCATTTCGACTCTGCGGTGTGAGCTGTTGGAAAGACGACTTTTATTGTCAATCAATCAACAGGATTTGGGAGAGCCCACTAGATAAACCTCCTGGTTTCTTGGGCTCTCCTGCATGTATTTGATTGTACATAATTTCTTTTTATACCATTACTTTTTTTATGTGCGAAAGGAAAATAAATAAATAAATAAATTGTCCACCTAGAGGACCTTGCGTTCTGCAACGGTACTGCAGCAGGTGGTTCCTTTACGGGAATGACAGAAATCCCCTGGGCAAATAACATGGGATGACCTGATATCATTCTTATTATGTCGCTGATGTTGCCATGTTTTACTTCCCATTTTGCAATGCACGACTCTACATCTTAGCAATCAATACTAATGTATTGATAAGTAAGTAGGACAGATGTAGTACTTCTGTAGTACTGTAGTACTAGTACTTGTAGCACGTTAATGGCTCTCAGTAAAACCAGTCAATTTTCATGCTGTAATTTTTCACACTGCCTGTGTGACTCACTTTCTCGAATATCTTTGTCAACTAAATGGAATGTCGTCCCAATGTTTGCCTTCTGACTGCCATATATGCTTAATAAATGCATACGCACAACACATATCCTACTGGCGTCTATCAGCAAACTAAAAGAAGGATCTTGCTTGAACACGGTCATTGTAAGGTCTCTACGCACTGCGCTCTCCTAAGAGTATAAAGCTGGTTGAAAATGAACTGTGCTGACCTGACTGTATGTCTGATTGTTCTCACGCAAATACATGCACGGCGTTTACCGTTACATCTAGTCAGACATGGAGCTGATATTCTTGTCTCACCCAACGAAAGCACTTAACTATAGTAACATAACATAATTACAAATTTTCTGAAACACCAAAGGGAAATGAATTATCACTTCCGTTTCCGTTTATAATTTCATCTATATTTATAATCACTGTTTTTTTAGCACATCCCTTGTAAAAAGGTCGATTCAGTAACCATGATGCTAGTACCGATAACGCAACACCTGCCTGGTTCCCAAAGCTGTCCCCCATATTGTACAGGGGGACGTTTTCTATGTGTCTCTTATTTTCAAACTTTTGGGCTTGCGAGTACAGAATTGAAACTTTGCATTCGACCTTAAATACAGATTTCAGCCAAAGAAATCTGTGAACAATATTCTTTCTTTCAGGGAGGACTTACATTCATTCCAGTTCCGTTAGGAATGCATGACAACCGTGCATCAACAACTGATTAAAGAATTTCTATATAGAATACTCCTGTACTTGGTAGCAAACGTTTTGACTAGACTTTCTTTTCAAGATGTTAAAACGCCAACCATATTTATTTAACTCCAAAGCTACTAGGCAGAACCGCGTTAGTTGAACTTTGTGCCCCAGTTCCTGTTGCCGTGTTCTGTGTGTACTTAGGATACTAAACAAATGGTAGTGCTGTATTTAAAGCGGATATGAACTGGAGGCCGTCATTACGTGTGGAAACAGAAGTGTAACAACATGAAAGTTCTGCTGTGTGTGTTGGTGAGCCTGACCGTGGCTCTGGCCGAGAAGCCGCGTCTCGGCGGGGCCGTAGAGATGACTGCGGACGAGCTGGCCGACCCCGCCCTGCTGGAGATCGCAAACTTCGCCGTCAGCAGGATCGACGACTCAACCAACGGCATGTACAGGTCCAAGCTGGTGCAAGTTCTGTCAGGGAAACGGCAGGTAAGTAGAATTTGTAGCCAGCAGTCGCCTTTACCTATACATCAAACCGTTACTTCCCAAATAAAGTCGTAAGAACGTCAGGTCTTCAAATTAGCCTAGTCTCATGTCAGGTCTCAACAGTTTCCATAGGTCTAAAAGATGCAAGTGTCACCATCAAAATCTATTCAGGAAGCCATCAAAGCTGCTCTTATATGCTGAACGAATTTAAGGGCACATCTGCTTATGTAACACCATTGTACCGCATCGTCAGGATAACAAGGCGATATCTGATTACGTCAGTTAGTTTTCGATCTTGGTCCATCTAACATTCTAGAGCCATAACGTACCTCAACAGAGCGGAATAACATGCGTCACTCCCATTTCGTCACTGTCTAAACAGAACTCACAGCCCTGATCAGGTAAATGCTTCAAATTGATTCTGCCAACGCAAAAAATCTTTATCGCGACGCTTCCTGTGTGCCCCACTGCACTGATGAGTCAATGAGAACCTAAGCAGCTGTGACCTGCGAGTCTACGATGCCTGTGCCCTTCGGCAGGACGAAAATTGTGCTGTGTGAAAATATGATGAGACTATTACAGCATATCCCTGGTCATGGTGAGTGACTATAGATGACAGGTAGTGAGATGACTGGATGTTGTCCTAGAAAGGGTTGGGCGTTACGGTACCGACTGTATGTTGAAATATCGCTGCTTAAATGATATTACAAGACCAACAAAACATCTTCCATTAATATCAACAAACCAAGACTTCAAAGTAAGAAGTGTTCCTTCCGTCGTCTGGCATGTTGTTTGATTTTTGGTCCGTACATGGTTCAGGAAGCGTGAGAATATCCCTGCTGTTGTGTTATCGTTATTCAATCATCGCTCGCTACTATTTGCAAACGTCACGTCTGAAACAAAGCAAATTTACCCCACAGACAAGACTGTCGAAAATGGAGTCCTTGAAAATGCTTTTAATTTATTGCATTTGCGGGGGCTTCTCGTAATTGCTGAGAAGATGATTATTTTATCGCTCATCTGACGTAATTAGAAATTATCAACACCAAACATCCGGCGAAAACCTTTGTTCAGCACTTTTCTGTGCTTATTTAGTGGTCACTAGCTAGACAAATGTGGGTTTAGCTTTGGAGACACCCACAATGATATTACTGTTGGAATGTGACCAGCGTATCATAATTATTAGTGAATAACAGCTCATATTATAAAGAAAGGAAGAAAATATCAGCAATGGAACGAAACAATGTTTGACCGGAACATTACAATTCACGTTAGTCTGAGGCAAAGTGGATTAATTCTAAATTATCAAGTATAAAAAAACATTTCCCCCTTCAGCTTGTGGCTGGCTACAAGTACACCCTTGAACTGGAAACTGCGACCACTACCTGCTCCAAGATGAGTATGGTTGCCCTGGAGGACTGCCCTCTACATCCTGACTACACGGTCAGTTACAGACCACAAACTCTTTTTTAGTCTTATTGTGAGTAATCATAGTTAATATTGAGGATTATGTATCCGAAACCAGCTTTGCATCAAAGATGCATATTCGTGTATAAGGGCATCTAATTTTACATCAGTACGCTGGTTCCAATATATCATTAGATGACTACAATGTGGCTCAAGTAAGCCAGTATGGAAAACAACATTCTTACTGAATTCGTGTTTAATCTTTTGAGTGGTAAACAAACCAATAATCAGTTAGCTACACGAGCTTTGGGTTGGGTATAATGCTGCATGGCGGTTTCCCCACAGAACCAGCTCTGTCACGTGGAGGTGTATGTCGTTCCGTGGACCGGGGAGCGCGAGGTTCTGGCTCAGGGCTGCAGACAGAAACCGACCAAGCGCCAGTTCACCTTCGGCGGGTTGCCTGGCGGCCTGGTCCAGGCAGACCCTGCGGACGATGCTGTCATGGCAGCCGCGCTCTTCGCCGTTGACGAAATCAACGCCCAGAGCAATGCCATGTACCTGAGCAAGCTGCTACATGTGCACACCGCTCAGACACAGGTCAGGGTGAAATAGGTTTATAAAATTTAAAAGAAAAGTGCCTCATTCTTAATCTTAAAAGATGGGAATGAGTTCAAAAAACCTGGATATTGCAGAGGACATTGCCGTTTGAATCATTGAATTGACTCTGAATATGCACAAAATCTTTCAAATTTATATAATACTTTTCGTTTTATGGAAACTCCCTTTTTTAAATTTTAAATATATTTTCCTTAGTTTTATCTAATCAACCACCCTTTTACAATCAGCTAACGGATGTTGCTCTCTACGTTGGTACGTCCCCAGGTTGTAGCAGGTGTGAACTACCACCTGCGCCTGGAGATCGGCAAGACTGTGTGCACCAAGGGTGACAATCAGCTCCTGGCAGACTGCGAGTTCGACCCGAACGCCCAAGTACAGTTTTCTTACATCAGAATTTCAAATTCGCTTTCTTTGAGAACTAATATTTTGTATAGTAGACTATGCTACTTTTTGTTAAAGCTTGACTATAGGTAGATCACGCGTTATATGTGTATAACGTTACCTGTCCCATTGTAAGGTTTGCAGTATTCAGCCAGTTTGTGATGTGTGTATTGTTCTAATGGTAGTCTATAGTTGGTGTTTCAGTGGTGATATTTTACATGTGGCACGGTGCTCTCGTGTTTCAGTTCGAGGTGTGTGACGTGATTGTGTGGAGCCAGCCGTGGGAGAACTCCCTGCAGCTGCTTAGCACGCATTGCAGCTCCACGCGGTCCCGGCGGCAGCTCATGCCGGGCGGTTTTCTGACCGGAGGACTGCACCCCACCAACCCCACCAGCCAGGAGGTGCTGGAGATGTCAGCCTTCGCAGTGGATACCATCAACGAGCAGAGCAACTCAATGTACCTCAGTAAACTGGTCCGCGTCCACAGTGCCAGCACGCAGGTTGGTTTCCCGCAGTTCCTTCTCATAAACACGGAGCAGTTCCATCTGGCCTATGTTGTTGAAGTCGGCGGAATATAGAAAACGTACTGAAAAACGTGCAGACGTTTGCCAAGGCTAACAATCAATTGCAATAGATTGGGGGACCAAAATCGAAAATTCAACAGTGATAATCCTAAAAAATATCCCCTTTGTGTTTTCGAAGGTTGTTGCCGGTACCAACTATCACCTGGAACTGGAGATCGGAGCCACCAGCTGCTTCAAAGGAGACTCCGTCAGTCTGGAGGACTGCGACTTCGACCAGAACGGACGGGTGGGTGCTGTTCTTATATGTTTGTATCACATTCAATGAAAAGATGTCATACCAAATTAAACAGTACAATGTAGAGACCATTTTATGTGTATTATATGTATTGACGTATCCAGGTTGAGATCTGTATGGTGATTGTATTCGACCAACCCTGGACCAACACTCGCGAAGTCACTTCAATGACCTGCAGACCTAAGGTAAGGCTGACGACATGCGCACGATATTTTGTTTTCTATTTAGCCATGTCAGTGGTACCGTCAATTTGAGATGTCATTTGTTTGGATATTCACTGGAACAATTTAATGACCAGAGAATTGGTTCTCAGCTTAAATGGAATAAAAAAAAAACAATCTTGCGTCAAATGTGAATACAACAACAGTATTACTGATACCCAGGTTGGTGCAAAGCGGCAGCTCCTCATGCCAGGAGGACTGATGGCCGCAGACGTTAACAACCAGGACATCCAGCAGTTGGCTCTGCTGTCCGTGGACCACGTCAACGCCATGAGGAACAACCCCACCCTCAGCAAGCTGGTGGAGGTCGTCAGCGCGCAATATCAGGTGCAGAAAACTGGCAATTTTCCCCTTCCGTTTTTTCTCTAGCTCAGATGTACAAGCGCCACGAAAATAATAAGGACTGCAATCTTGCAAACGATAGCATATCTAGAAGAATCATGTCAGAAGCTTCTCTCTTCATAACTTCAGGTTGTGGCAGGTCTGAAGTACTACCTGACGATAGAGATCGGCACCACCGGCTGCTCGAGCAGCGACAGCGCCGTCCAACTGTCCGACTGCATGGTCCTGCTCGGAGGCGGGGTTCGTAATAACTGCCTTTAATTGTTATGTGTTGCATGTCGGGACAATGGAAATGTTAAGTAATCTTAATTCATAACCAATGTGTTTGTCTGCACCATTATTTCAAATTGAGTGTGTATTGAGCGTTTTACTGCAACTGACCCAGTCCTTGTGTTTATGCACAGCGCGAGACGTGCGACGTGGAAGTGTTGGACCAGCCGTGGGTAGGGGAGCCACAGGTCCTGTCCTTCTCCTGTGCGCCGAAACAGACCGTCCCGTGAGAGCATACTCGGTATCTCACCGGGAACACTACAAACGTGTGAAGACTGCTTCACATTTGGACATCATTGTTCCAAATAAATGCACGAAGGTGCAAATGACCAAATTGATCTGTTGTCAGTGCCTGCTTTATTGTTTATCATTTTCATATCGTTTGGTAGGTAAATTAGACAACTTTGTGAATTATACAGCAGGTTCTGATCTTGACTGGGCCACGAAATATTTCTGATACTAGTGATAGAGGGCGTCCCCACCGTGTGCGCTGATTCAACACTGTCATAATAAAAATACAGCTCAAGCGTAGCCAATTATCTAGCTATCGGGCTATCTTCTCTGCATAGCTATCTTCTATACATAGCTAATAGCTCGTGGTGCATTGAAAACCATGAAACTCATTTATGATGTAACCAAATACCGAAAAGCGTACTAGTATATCATGTGGCAATGTACCCTCCATCTGCTTGGAAAGCATTCATCCTTACGCCACACCGCCTTAATTTTATGGATGACATCCTCTGAAGACCCCCAAACTAGTGCGCGCGGGCGAATAAAAAAAATTCCGACCAAAAATAAAACTACTACTAAACCACAGGAATACAAAGCTGTTATTGTTAATTTGCGGTAGTACTTAGCGACGTATACGACAAGCCGGCACATGCTGGCTTTTTGCGGAATGAATCGGCACTGAACGTATGTGCTGAGTTCTTGAGTCGTGGGGCTTCGGTAGCTGGGTGCCCGGCTCTGTATTGTCACTAACTACCATGGACTACCCAGGCCAGAGCCTCGGTGGACGTGGTCTTTTTTAACTGTATGGTCTGTAGCATAAAGAAAAACGCTAGTTGGCGATCTTTTTACACTGCATGATGGCAACAGCTCCGTCACATGCGCTCTCGGGAACCCCCATGCAGGCCCTCAAACATATCTGACCAACCAGATCGTCGAAAAATAATCTGATCAGCAGAGATGACCAATGGAAAATGTGCATTTTTCAGACCAATAGAAAGGCGCCAAAATGCATTCTTCTGACCAATGGCCATGCCAGGATACTACGAAATTGACCAATGGCACGACTAGAATTCCTTGCACAGGTGGTTGGAAGTGTATAAAGCCGATGTGCAGAGTCGATTGCGTTATCGGTCGATTCAACTGCGTGAAGAGAAGGTAGTTGCTCTTCAATCGACACGGCCGTCTGCAAGCCGAAATGGAAGGTGTTTCTGTAACGTCCAGGGAATCACCAAGCATCAAGAGAAGAATTTCTGGGCTCAAAATTAGCCAAATGTTTCGATGAGGAGACCCGCGCTACAAAGGTGAGACTGACTGCCAGGTCCTTGATCTTTCGGGACAGTCGAAGTTTGTTTAGCGGCGTTTTATGGAAAAGGTTCTGCATTAAGCGTTTGATTGCCAACACAAGCAAGATGAGTATGTCACTGTAACAGTGGGGATCCGAACAGGAGTGTCTTTCTGTTTCTACTCTTCCCACTTGCCATTGTACAGCCATTGAGCCTTTGGTTTTCTGCAGCCATGAGGACAGGGACAAGAACTGATGCAATGCTGACAACCTGCATCAGAAGCTGATACTACCGGTAGTAGAGGAACCAACAGAACTGTTGACTGTGAGTAAATCTAATGTACAACTTACACGGCGTATGGCTTCTCCATTGACAATTGGAACAATTGATGTAACGTTAGGCCTGTTTCACCAGGTTTGACTACAGTTCTATAAATTTTTGAAGGACAGCCTGTTCAGAGCAGGATGAATAGCACACCACAGTATATTTAACTGATGTGCATGCAACTGTCTTTTCCCGTTTTAAAATGTGTCTTACCACTACTTGCTCGGCTTTTGGCAAGACATGAGATATTGCTGCACTTTTGCCTTTTCAGAGTTTTAAAAGCAAGAAAACTAAGCCTGGCTGTCTTGGTCTAATTTTTTTTGTAATTTGACTTTCTTGTCATTAAAAGAAGCAGGGAAGGAGACATCTCTCGGCAGCTTCCAGGATCCGCTACTATTGTGATCAACTACACATTTCATGGAAAGGGGTTTGCAGGCAAAAAAGTACACATGTAATTGATTTGTGATGCGGCATTTTGTAAATAAACTTTTGGAACTAAGCCCGTCAAGGTGATTGGGCTTGTTTCGATGCCATCCTGAGTGATACTGTTGGCTTGGGCCCGGGTTAGGGCATTGTGAGGGTGGTGGCTACTATTGTACACAGGGATTTAGTCTGTTTCTGTGGGATACAGGTCTGACGTATGGTTGATTTGGCTTCTGTGACTATGCCGGGGGCTGGGATTGAGTTCGGAGTTGCTGCAAAGTTCAGTCCTCTAAAAAACGTGACTTCCCTAAGTTTTGTTAGCCCGTGATTATTTACTAATAGGTATCTTGTACTGCCTGACTTTCTTTCTGCATTATGTGATTGTCAGTGGGTCGGGAACCCTGACCATTACATAAGCTGCCTTGTGAATGAAATAATGGGGCGGGGGGNGGGGGA